GATTGAGTTAATTCAAATTTGGTCAAGCCAAAGAACGTGAAAGCTAACAAATGTTCATCTGAAGAAAACAACCCAACTCCATCTCTCGCCGAGAAAGAGAGGAAATAAGCCCACTAGAAGTATATGAAGCTCCAAGAAGAAGGAAAAACAGAGCAAGCCAGGAAAGATTTATTTGAACGATGGGCACTTAATACGACAACAGAGAGCTGAGGATGCTCAAAACTAATAATAAAAGAACACAAGCAGCAATATCATCCTGTCATGATGTAGCTCTCCGAAATCAAAGACGTTTAGCCATATATATGTTTAGGCCAATTGGTTGGAACCTAATATTTCTCCATATTCTCTGGAAGTTTGATTTTTTGTCTTTATAAAGTTTCCTTTACCTTAATGTTGTTTGATAGCCTATAATTCCAGAAATTTGATATCTGTTATGTGTGAATTATATAGTTAAATTCTTTCAAGAGTTGACTGGAAACCGGAAAGGCGGAAACCAGATTACTCCAAAAAAAGAGTGGGGCCATATATGGAAACACCAAAGGTCTAACTGAAGAATTTCCTAGTTCTTCTTCTTATTATTTCATTGTTTTGTTTTGATAATTTTTTTTTTTTCCTCTTCATTTTAGATCCTTTGTCATTGAAAACTACTACGATTTAAGAAGTAATCCTTCCTTCCCACAAAAAAATAAAAATAAAAATTAGTGTACCATGTAAAATTTTAATCATACTACACTGAAACCAATACAATTGGGGATGATTTTTGTGGCACACATTTGGAAATAAAATAGGCTTGGACAACCTTTCTGACAACTAGTAATTAGGTACATAGAGCATAATACGGACGCAAAAGAAAAGAGTAATGATGACCTAAACCATCTAATTTTGTTCCACATAGAGAGGGCTAGCTATCATTAATTTTGACTCTAAAACTTCATAAAATCATAAAAGATGAAGTTATACTCACCAATCTGATCTCTAACTTGAGTAGATAATCCCTGATCCCTCCATGAGAAATCCTGTGACATAACACCAGAAATTATAAAAATTTGGAAGGAATCAAATAATAAAGAGAAAATTTTTTTAAAAAAAATCATTAGTAAAAAGGGACATTTATGAAGGAAATACTTCTTCTTTTACTCAAAATGTTAAATAAAGAAAAACATAACAGGTACCTGAGGCAATAAACCCCCAGATGGAGCTTGAGCACTCAACGTCCTCTGAAGAAAAGCAATCGGCCTTGGAATTTTGAAAGAGGGGAAGGAAAAAAAAATATATTTTGGTTAGAGAGAATGAGAGTAAAAATAATCATTACTACTCTACGATAAGACTATATGTATTTTAGATTTAAAAAGAAGTAAGTATATTTACCTGATGGGATGAACAATATCCAAAGAAGAAGAAACCCTTTGAGCCGGTGGGTAAACGGAGGGAAGACAGCGTCGGCTAAGAATCCTGAACATGGATTGCATTCTGATGGGACTTGACAGAAAATGTGAGAATAGTATGTGACTTGTGTATGGATGGATTCTTGATCGAATGAAGGAATAATGGAATTTTAATAGTGATGGTGTGACTGTGTGACTGTGTGAGAGAGAGGAGAGGAGGGGAGGGTGGTAGTACTACTGTCTGTGTGACTATGTGAGAGAGAGAGCATCGTCACTGCAACGGCTGGCTATTCTGTTAAAACTTGGAGAAGGGGGTAGGAATTGGAGCATTGTGCTATACTGTGTGTGTGTGTGAGAGAGAGAGGGAGAGAGAGAGAGTCAAGAATCTTTGTGGGGACAGTGGATTGTGAGTGTCATATCATACAAAATTCATGCTTAGTAGTATTTCCCAAGTTTCCACGTCCCTCTCCAATTTTTTTGGATGAAATGGAAATTATTCAATATAAATGAACATCTTACCAATAAAAAGAAAAAAAAAAAAACTGTGTACCTTATTACATTAAGAATAAAAGAGTATCGAAACATATACAATACTCCCATTCATTCATTCACATTATTAGGGTTTCATTTTTTCAATACATTTTTTTTTGGGACGAAAATAAAATAATATAAAAAAGTTTGATAACAAGTAAGAAAAATTTTACAGTGTCATGAATTTCATTGAAATGTCCCACTGTTATCAATGAGATTCTTCTTTTATTTTTTCTTTCTCTCTCCTGGTTCCCCCTAAAGTGGTAAGTAAGAAAAGGATGATCGAGATACAAAAACGATGATGGTAGATCATATCACCTGGACTTTGTTAAATCTAATGTCACAAGTATTATAAACACAGTCATCATATCTTGTCTCAATCCATTCATTTTGGTCTTTACCGCCCTATAAAAACTAGAATGGACTCTACAATGCTCACTTGGAAAATGCATAGTTAAGCCATTAATTGCATCTATACGTTAAATTTTTATTTCTCTAGATGTAGTAGTAAATTATTACTATGGGGAAAAAAAAAAGCAAAAAGAAATTGCAACTTCCAGTAGATAGAGATATTGAGGGGTGGGTAGAGTCAGCTTAATGGGTTGTTTTCCGGTGACCAGAGTGCCAGAGTTTGCCGGGTTTCCGTACGTACTGTTTCCAACTAAAAAGGATAACGTAAATCAGTAGATGTCGTTCCACTTTTTTACGTGCCCTTTAAAAGCTTTCACAGTTTTTTTTTTTTTTTTTTTTTTTTAACCCAATCGTTTCTTTAATGACTGATGTCTCCAAGGATTATAAACTTTGAGTTGCATATCTAACTCACGTTGATTATTCTCTTTGATACACTTTCAGACGAGGATTTATGGAAGAATTAGCATGAAATTTATGGAAAATGACATGAATGTGTGTGAACAAACTGACAGCCCTTTTGTTAATCGCAGAGGCAAGAAATTTACATGAACTGAATGTCCACCACCCCCCTCCTCTCTCTGTTCTTTTTTTTTTTTTTTTTAAATTTCTTTCAGAGTTCTGATGATAAAGTAAATTTCTGTCTTCCATACTTCTGCATAGTTGTATTTGTGTAAAGACAGAGTCATACATAAAGCGCTTGCATCCTACCAAAGCTTTTTTTGTGCATATCTACAATAGGTAGGTCTGACTTCTGAGACTGGCGCAGAGGTCTGACGCATAAATCCAAAATAGACCATGAATTTTACCAGCAGTAGTAACTTTGTGTGCAGTAATTTTTTGTGCAACACATAAAACCATCCAAGAAATTCAAGGTTACTTTATTATGCTTTTGAACTTTACACATTTGGGTCAAATTCGTAGTCTAGCTTAAATATTTTTCTTTTCCATTAATTTGTTTGTTGGATGAGTAATGAGTTCAGACGCGCGCGGATACAAGTTACAATCACGTTTGTTTGAATTTGTAGTAGCACACGTCTTGTGTAAACATTCAAGTCTTGCCACTCAAAACATTGCTTATTCTTGGAATCAGACACAATCTTATACCAGTCTAATTAACCATTTTGTATCTGTTTACATCTCACGCTACATTTTAACGTAAATAAACAATTTTGATACCACAAGCAAGCTCCTCTTATTTTTGCCATCAGATACAACATTAATTTGGATTTTACCTTTACAATGTACTAGTACGTCTTTCTTAACAATATAGATGCAGTTTAAAAAGCTTGGTTACATACAGATACACTTACTGCATTATATATTGGTGAGACGTGGCCAAAACGTCTATACCTATCATGCCATATCCATTTCGATGATTTCATTATGTGATTCAAATTGATGCGTTAATAGCAGCATGTTTTAGTGTTTGTTTGGACGTCATCTTATATCTCATTTTGTCACTTTAAAGTGAGATGTGTTTTAAGTAAAAAACGTAATGATAAATGAAAAAATCGTTCGGATGGTAGTTTAACAAAAAAGTTAGTTTTCTATTCAAATATCAAGTACAAAAAATATTACTTAACAATTGATAAATGTCAATTTTAGTCACTATAAAAAAAAAAAAAAGAGTTTCGAAAATGATCACTAAATAATAGATCAAAAAACGTGTAAAGTTTTAGATTTAGTCACTGAATTAATTTTTAGTTAAAAAAATGGTCACTATACTAATTTTAGTTCAAAAAATAGTCACCACACTAATTTTAGTTCCCAAAAATGATCATTAGACTAACAAAATGTTGCAAGTTTAATTTTAAAATATGAATCAGAAAGTTGTTTAGACGTCAGTTTAATTTTCATTGACTTTTGTGTTTAAGAGGCAAAATGAGTGAAAAATGAAAATTGAGACGAAGTCCAAACAAGCATTTAGTCATCTGTCCGACAGGGATATGAATTTTGAAACGTGAAAAATAGGCATTGTTTTGGGGGGGGGGGAATTAAAATAAACCAAAATGTTGGATCAAATAAAAATCGGACAAAGGGGCGGGGGGTGGAATTGTATGCCAATTCCTTCGCGTTGCGGATTCGAGTTGCTAATTCAAGCTGCCTATGAGACCAATTCAAATACCAACTAACGCTTGAATCAGTTGAGAGGAGTGTTGATCCAGTTTAAGTAGAGGTCTCGAGTTTGAGACCCTGCGTACGCAACCGTGTTAAAAGGCTGATTGGTAGAGGTCGTCTTCGAAAGGAATCTACCCACCTCGAACCGAATTAGTCAGCCATCAGTCGACACCCATGTATGTAACGATAGCGGCTGGATATCGGATGCGCACGTAAAAAAAAAAAAAAGAAAAGCCAATTCAAACTGATTGAACCAATAAACCAATAACCCTGCTAAGTTGTATGTTTGCCTTCCGGTTCGGTTTTCAAAACATGGCTTGTCACATAGATGGGATGGTTCATCATTGTAACCTTTTCGTTACCGATTTAATTGTATTCGGTGGTTAACTTGTCATAAAGAGATTTGTTCATCATTGCAATCTTTTTCTTACCAATTTAATTATATCCCATGGTCAACTTGTCGTAATGAGATCCGAGGACTCAATCAGTATTCGTAGGACAATTCTATACTCCTTTGTATTAAAATTTGTAGACTTTTTTTTTTTTTAATTTAATGTTCTGTGGAACAGAAGTAAATTTCATTGAAGATCGTACACTTTTACAAGTTAGAATTCTGTTAAAAGGCGGTATTAACTTTTTGATATATTCAGTATCATACTAGACTCATGCATAACAAAAACAACACAGGTTGAATAAAAAGATCTTCAATACACATATTAATATTACAATGATCCTTGCTTCACCGTTTACACGAGAGAGAAAAGGCTAACTTCCTCCGCGCCGTCTGTGAGACTTCTTGCTAAAATGCTAGTCTACCATTTTACTTGTAACTAGTTGACCGCTTGACTGCTCACTTGGAACACCACAATTAAGCACCCAATCCAACCTGTAAAGGACATGACAACGCCAAATAGCAACTGTAAGTGATTCATGAAAGCAAAACTACCAAGTCATTTTCCAATTTTTTTTTTTTTTTTTTTTGACTTGGTGAACAGAAACATAATATGCCATGAATATAAAAGCCCAATGCAAGCATCATGTTGGAAGCTAGGGCTCTGGAATATGAAATGTTGACTTGGTTTTGGACATCGATTATTCTGCTGTTTTTGCAGCAAAGACCATTTGTGTTAAAAATCTTAGGTGCTGTAAAAAGTAGTGCTATTCATCAAACACTAAAATAAAATGAATGGCAGCATGTGTCAAACATCTTACTAAAAGCAAAGAGCAACCTTTTCTATCCTACTAATGTGCAACACACTATGGATGCATTTTCACTTATTTAGGGATTGTGCTTTTTAATACCAAAAATTCAAAGTGACAATTCAAGACAAAACTTAGATCACATCTTAAAAAGCATATAATCAAAAGTCAATCCACATGAAACCTATATTTCCAAAAGTATTTCATCGTACAAAAGAAACAAAAGCAGCATATCTGTCTGACATCTAACCTAAGCAAAGAGAAACTCTTTCTGTCAGCGCAAATTCGCACTATTTTTCAAAGGTTCTATATACAAACAAAACAAATAAGAAAGGCTCCATATAATACAATGAAACTCCCATTCAAAGCACCTCTGGGTTATTTTTCCTTTCTCTACCCCAATTGGTAGTTAAAAAGAAATAAATAAACCATGTTGCAAGATTTTCACAAAGATGCAAAAAGGATAAACAATTAAAAATTTCAATTTCTCAAGAATATGAACTGCAATTCCAATGTTTTGCTAGCTGTTAAAACTCGGATGCAAATTTTAGGAGATGGTGTAACACCTTAACCATATGGTTCCTAATGCATTTACCTGGTACTCTTCCAGAGGTTTAGAAACGTATGCCTTAATGAAATGCTTCTTCTCTTGCTTGACCCACACCAATTTGGTTATGGCACATAAGGTACTGCAATCCCCATTATAATCCTTTGCCCTTAATATTAAAAGGTAACAGGCAACACTACAGACCTCTAATTTGCTCGCCGACAACACCTTCTCGAGACAACTTTTGTTTTCCTACAATCATATATTCGATTAAGTCAATGAGAAAATCTAAACATTAGAAACAATTATAATAATGGGGACACAAGCATATAAATTTCACTAAGATACACAAACAGATACAGAAGCAAACACATACAAAGAGACAGAGAGAAAGAAGAGTAAGACCTGGTCTCTAGTGTGTAACTGAGCTGCAGATAGAGCATACTCGTAAATCTGCTCATTATTCTCAATGTCAACAGGGACAATCACATCACTTGTAACAGCAGAAGGAGCCTGAGCGTTCTCCAGAGAGTCCAGCCGTCTGAGCAGAGTGTTAAGCACATTGAATAACCAAGAGTCGTTTGAACAATTTAGTAAGAGTTTCACGGAAAATGAAGACATTGGAGAAGCTATTACATAAAAAAAGTTAAAAACCATATCGAACGGAAGAAAACAAAATCATATTTGCCCAAATCAAGTTTAAAAAGTCATTGTAATACATGAACAAGAAGGATAGTCAAGATCTTCATAATCGCAACAGCAGAAAGCGGCAGCTACATGTTTCACGGGATGCTTATGACATCTAGATTCATATTTCTTCTTTAGAACTACTTTTTGTGTTATCATACAAATGTTTCTGAAGAGACACACTCGACCACATTCACGTATACAATGTCTTCTACTGGAAAGAAAGCTCAACTAATTTGATTCCTCCCAGGAAATCCTAGGCTACTTAATTATAGATCCAAAAAGTTTGATTTTCAATATCATCAAAATCTACACGTCCATGAAAAAAGTGAAAAAATGTGTTCAAGTTCAATGGGTACGAAAACGATAGCACTACCCACCAAACGAAAGTAAAAAATGAAGGAGAAAAATACAAAAACAGAACTGGAACCTAGACAGAAAATTTGAGCCTCTATTCAAACTAGATATTCTCATATGCAAATTTCAAAGGAAAATCCTAATCAGCTATGAAAACTGACAATCACAACAGAAAAGCATCCAACATTGGTTGGCTTACGCATTGAAATACAAATAACGCATGCCTACTAATTAGGAAACAAAAAAGGAAGGCCAAAACTCCCAAGTTCTCAACAATAAGCCATCCCCAATGATATAGCGGTAATATATTCCATCTTAAGGTTGGGGAAAAATACAAAAGTCTACAAGACAGTACACAATCAGAGTGTTTACAAGATTATTTCAGAGTCTGAGAGACAAACAACATAACACAGACAGCTTCTGAATAGGAATGAGAGATCATTAGCAGGTATACCATCAAAAAGGAAAGAGCACCAAACTATGCATTCAGGAACTTCTGGACTTCAGTTCAGACGCTTTTGTTTAAAAATGCTCATAGGGAAATTCTACAAACATATCCAGAATACCGAGTCAACAAAAGCGAAAAAATTCTGACCTAGAAGGGCAGTCATTGAGCAGCTGAAAGTCGATCAATATCTTCTTCTTCTGGACGGGGTCGTGCACAACCAACGCACGATATATATTTAGGTCCCCATTCTCAGGAATCCCCTCCAACGTCAAGTTATAGATTGACCAACCACTCCGAATCACGCTGGCATTCACCACTCTCACGACACGAATAGGCGGCGGCTGAGGGTGACACACCCAAAACCAATAGAATTAACGAATTGTAACCATCTCGACCAAGGGGGGAAAAGAAAAAAAAGGAAAGAGAGACAAGTATAAGATAAAATACTACCCAACCTTAGCATATTTATTATCCCTAAGATATGGATAGGCGGCCACGGCATAATGAGTCGCAGATAAGACCCCTTTGTCGTCGGCGGCGCAGGAAACAGGAGTGAACCCATAATTGAAATCCGGACCAATGTTGACCCGAGATAGGGGGGTTGGTTGCGAACCGTAGCACCGGCTCCGGCGGCGGCATGCCGGAAAGGGTAAAACTGTGAGATCCTTCAACCCAACAACATTGGGCGAGTTATGAATGCAGCCGACTACACCCAGAACTGATAACTTCCATTTTACGAGCTTATTACCCTGATCCCATGGTTTTGTTCTATTCAACACACTTCGTATAGCTGCCGCCATTAGCAAAATATTTTCTGTCCAAACTGGAATTTGAACGACCATGTATGTATGTATACTGAGAGTCTCAGAGTGCAGCAAAATTAAGGAGGGAGAAGCTTTGGGTTTGGGCCTTTGAGCTTTTGGGCCTTTAAAATTTTGGCTGTCGTAACTAGTTCAATAATATTGAGTTGTCCAACAATATACTTTATCCGTCCAATAAAAACAGTTCAATTTCTCTATATAATTTAATTTTTTTTAAAAAAATTATAATCTTGTGTACATCATTAACAACGTTTAAGATTTTACTCAAAAAAAAAAAAACAACGTTTAAGATGAAAAAATAGTAAGTGAACGGAATACGAGGAGGGAGCCTAACATGGAAATTTTGATCACTTAAAATTTTTTTTATGTTTGTGGACATTAGTAAAGAAGCCATCGTGACAATATTACTGGGATCAATAACTATAGACAAAGTGATTACAATCTTTTTATTCCTTCAGTTTTTTTGAAAAATAAATTATATTTGGAGAATGTATTTCGTCGACCTTGCTAAAATGGTCACACGACGAATTTTGTCTAAGTGCTAAGTCAATCTTTTAAGTTTAAGATGGATTATTATTTTTTTTCTTTTTACAGACAAATAGAAGGGTTTGACTACTGAAAGCCCAGCCCAAACCAGTAAAGGCCTTTTCGTATAAAAGCCTTCGCGAAATGGTAAACCCTAATAAATTTCATCGTAATCGGAGTGGGAAGACTAGGGTTTCGGTTCCACACAGAGCAGCTCCCGCCCCCGACGAGAAGCAATGGGTCAGTAATTCAAAGTTTGGTTTTCATTTCTTCCCAATTTTCTCTGCCAAATTGTTTATGATACTGGTGTCCTTTTCAATTGTCCTTGTTTTGATTTAATTTTTGTGGGTGAAAAATGGTGCAGCAAGGATCAAGGTACACGAGCTTCGTAACAAGACTAAGACTGAGTTGTTGGCTCAGTTGAAGGATCTCAAGGCCGAGCTCGCCCTCCTCCGTGTTGCTAAGGTCACCGGCGGCGCCCCCAACAAGCTTTCCAAAATGTATGTTGCTCTGAATCATATTTCCTTTTGTTTCATTTTTCTTGCAGATTTCCACATATTGATTTGAATGTTTATTTTATCACAGTTTATTTCATTGGGCTATTTTGAGCTCCTGTTTGTTTTGTTCAACTGTCTGATTGGAAACGCCTAACTCGAGCTATCTTGGTCCTATTGCCTGAATATTGTTGTTTATTTTTCCGTTGTTTCTGTTGGTTAGTTCAGTTGTTAATTATGGTCTGTGGACACTGGTATGGAAGAGGTTAACCATCCATGAAAATGTATTTTGCTCAAGTTTTTGCTTGTGGAAAATGGTTTTAAAAGCCTCATTGTGGTTGTGATGGTAGCTGTGAAGTGTTAGCATGATGGTTTAAATACTAGTTGATCTTGTTTTCTACAGAGTGCTTCAATTTGATCCTTGAGTTCCCTAATTTGCTGATGAATGTTATATTTTGCACTGCTGTGGGTTCTTTTCCCCTTTTTTATAATTGGATTATTCTGATTGCTTGGCTTTTTTGAACTCAGCAAGGTAGTGAGGTTGTCCATCGCCCAGGTCTTGACAGTGATCTCTCAAAAGCAGAAGGCTGCTCTGAGGGAAGCTTACAAGAACAAGAAATATTTGCCTCTTGATCTGCGCCCCAAGAAAACCAGGGCTATCAGAAGACGTCTTACCAAGCACCAGGTATTTCATTTTACTTGGGTTTTGTGGTTCTCGAACCTGCATTAGGTTTTTGATGCTTGATCTACTTTCTTGTCATTAAGTGGCTGATCTAGGTTTATGATGTTAGGCTGTACCTAAAGTTGCTATGAACTTAGTTGTAATACCTCCTGTGAAGTAGTGCTTCCTTTTGTTTCTCTATATGTAGAGGGGGTGCATCCGAGGTGTTAAGCTAACTACCCATTTTGCAATATGAGATGATCTGTGGAGACCATTTTGATTTATATGTGGCATCTAAACTCTGAGTCTCCTGCTTACAGAGATTGAGTTTTACATTGTTATTTGTTTCTCTTCTCCCATTACCCTTTAAGAGAAGATATTACGACTCACAAACAATGTGTTTGCGCTCACTGTTGCGGAAATTTAACTCCAAATCTCATGCATCTTGTGCAAAATGTTGTTATATATGTTGCGTTTTTTATGATGCGAGCTTGTAGTATACATCTTGAATGGCTACCCACCCTCTTTTTTAATGTGATTTATGCATTTTAAGTTTGCTGATATTATTGGAACTTGGCATCTTTCTGTTTAGTTTCACTGTTGTCCTGCATTTAAGTTGATTTGAGCTATAATCACTGAAGCTACTTCTAAAATTGTTTATCCTGATAACTTCATTCAATCCTTGTCCTCCCTCGCAGGCTTCCTTGAAGACCGAGCGTCAGAAAAAGAAGGAAATGTATTTTCCCATGAGGAAGTATGCCATCAAAGTTTAGAGGGCTTTCGATATGTTTGTATTTCAGAATGGTGTTAAACTAAATATGGATGTCATTTTGCCGATTTTGCCTCTATTGGTAAACTTTTTGTTGAAATAGATGCTAGATAATATGTTCATTTTGGAATACAATGTCTTGTCGACCTCCTTTTATAGAGGATTTCCTCCTATCTGTTTTGTTATCTTCCTTTATTTAAGGGGCTAATTTAGCACAAAGGATATGTAAGTCACAAAAGGCAAGAGAAATCTCATCAGGGCTCAGGCTCTTAGAACAAGTAATTCCAGTACCTAGCTTTTCCTTCCTTTGTTCTCGCCTTCTCGGTATAATCACAATTGGAGGTCTGGATCCCGAATAGAGAACTGACAATTCGCATGATAGGGAGTGTTGTGCGTAGTAGATGCTTGCTCTTGTTTCAAAAGTGTTGTCAAGTTGTTCTTTTCGACATATGTCTAGTCGGTATAATCGTTAGGGGGCAGGGCTGGTACATGCGTAATTATGGCCATGGGGAGATCGCTAACTGTGTAATTATTACCTTAGTGGCATAGTCCATGGACCTCATAATAGAGCTTTCATCAAGTTGTTCATAGCAAGCTATACATTATTTTCCCAAGATACGACCAATCCAAACTATTCTTTGAAGAAGTATTGCACCTGAAATGAAAGAACAGTGACCAAATATAGAATTCAAAATTAGGCAACAGCCAACGGTGCTATCATACCAAGCCAATCGTTCTCAAGACTCACTCAGGTCTCTCAAATCCTGCAAACCGGGATTTTTCCATTTTCAGCAATGCGTATCTGGTGAATGTTAGATCAACCAGAAAGCGAAAGAAAAAGACTGGGATGCTGCTGCAGTCAGCAAAACTAAATATAGATCTCCCCCAGTTGGGTGGATAACTGGATCATTTCATTGGAATAAGTCAGAACTCAGAAGTCGACGTGAAATTTTAAGTTGGTTTATTACCACAATCACCATTATTTTAAGTTGGTGAGGTCACCAACTGTGACTTCCGAGTGTGCTACCTAGACTTTAAAGGCCACTTCTCTCCAACGTAGTTTGTCTTTTCCACTCTTCCAAGAGTGGTAATAGTAACATTATTATTTCAGTTAATGACTTAATGTACTGACTTTGTGTTACCAAGCGGCACTCCCTCAATCCTGAAATTATATTTAGTTTGAATTTTCATTTTTAATTCAAATTGTACTAAAAATAAAATTTCAAACTGGATAATTATTTTGAGACAAAAGGAGTACTACTATTACAACTAACAGTATTATTTCTTTGTTGGATTTTCCTTTTTTTTTTTTAATTCCGACACGACATCCTCGTTGCTGTCTTTTCATTTTTGCTTCATTTCTTTTCCGGAGTGTTTGTTTGTGGTCACCTGAGTTTATTTTCAATCTTTCATTTTATATGGTGGAAATTTTGGCCGTTTCTGGAACTGAGGTGTGAGCTTGTTTTCTATCACCGGATGAACAAACTAAGGCTTTGTTTGTTTTCTTTTTTAGTTATTTTTTTCAGAATTAAATAATAATAAAAGTTCATTTTAGCATATCTTTTTACATTTTTAAAATATCTTTTTACATTTTTAATACAAAAAACACCTAAAAATACACTCTAAAAGAACGAAACAAACATAAGTTTGGAGGTAAAATGGAAAATATACAACTAAAATTGGTTGTCTTAATTAAGTAGATTGAAAAATAATGTTTCCTACTACTGTACTACATATAACTTTCTCCAAAAACAATCCTTTTTGCCTTTTGGATCCTATAGTTTTCTTAATTTTTTGAGTCTATCTTTACTTTTCTTAATTTGAGTTTTTAAGTCTATAGTTTCTAACTTTAACTGGAACATCCACAAATCTTCAAAGTACATGGCCAAACCATTTTAAACACGATTATATATATATATATATATATATATATATATATATATATTTCCCCTTTCTGCGCTGTCTTTACTTTTTTTTTTCCTAACACATTTGTTTCCAATTTTATTTAATTTCGTATGTCTACTTGTCTATCTTAGTTATTTTCATCTCTGCTATTTGTATTTTTTTTTAATTCATTTTTACATTGACCCTTAAAACACAGGCAGTTTGATAAAATTTAAATTTTAAATTCAGTTCTATCTTAAGATCATATTGACCACGCACGTTGCTATTTGTTTGGCCCTTTGCGAATTTAGTATGTTACATTTTTATCAATTTTTTTTTAAAATGGATTCGAAGTTGTACTATTCATAATTTAAATTATTTTTCTGAAACAGAAGATTAGTATCATAATATTTAGTCAACAAAATTTCTAATAAATAAATGAATGATATGATGCAGCAGCATCTTAGTAACCGAACCGTGTACACACTACGCACTCCCAGAAAGATTCAAAAAGAATAATCATCATCACATATGCGCCTGATAAGTGGATGAAAATGTTCCTCCAAAAATAGTGGATTCTCCACAAGTTTCAGGGAGATTATTCATCTTGAAAATTCAGGTGGGGATTTTCTTCATCTTGAGAGGGCTTAATTTGGAATGGTGTCTTTTCATAGTTTCTATAAGAATGAAGATGACCATGGTGCATTGCTCACCATAAATAACAAATAAAGAAAAGTAAAATCATTTTTTTTTCTAACAAAAAAAAAGGAAAGAAAGAAACATCCGTGGGCTGGAGAGTCAAAGAAATATAAGCGAAGTGGACAGTCACATTAAAGATAATCGCAGCTTAATGCGCAAATAGAATACTCCATATGCTCGAAGACACTTGTCTCAGTTCTTTGTGGACTCTTGGCTTAATGGAACAAATTAAATTACAAGGCTTAAATCAGTGATTTGATAGGCTGATTTGATTTGATCATATTAATTACAAATACTTCACCTAACACAAAGAAGTAAGTATCAGTAAAGAGAGAGAAGAAAATAATCACGCAAGAGTATAAATCAGTCATAGTTTATAGAATTAAGGTTACACCTTATGAATAAGATCTGAGATCGGGAATTCGTTTAGGTTCAGTCGTGAAGAAATGAAGGCAGATCACTAAAAGGTTTCTCTTGATTGATCAAAGAATGATAATATAATAGTAGTCCCTCTGTCCTTATTATAAGATATTTTCATTTCGTCCTAAGTTTAATCTAAAATGTTTTTTAATCAGAAAAAAAATTTAAAAATATATTTTCACATTCGTTGTGTTCTCTTAATTATTATGAAATATTTTTAAGATTTTTATTCCAATTAAAAAGACATATTAGATGAAATCTTGAACGAAATTAAAATGTCTTATAATAAAGACAAGAGGGAGTACATATTAGTAAGTAACTCTTTGGTTGCACATAAAAATCAGGCATGTTCTATATAATTCAATATTCATTCAATATTCATATATTGTAATTTTTTAAAAAATAAAAAATAAAAATTCCTTGGTCAACTTATCTGCTGAAGAGAAGGCAAATTGGCTAATAGTCTGCGTAATATCTAGCATACATTAGTGCCGCCCCTGCTTATCAACTGATAATGACAATTGTTTAGCCACATATATCTACTTATTATCTACCACAAAAATGCTCCAGGTTTACCAGGAAATTAAGGAAAATCTTCTTGTCATTCATTTTTTTATTGTATTATGTTATCCTTATGTAACATTGATTGACTAATATTTGACATTCAACTATGACATTAGGGTTTTTGCATTTATATATCACCACTTGCTTATTACTACTCTCTCGCCTTAATTATAAGACATAAATTAATACTACGAATTATTAAAACGGTCTATGAATCATATGAGTAGGGTTAGCCCGATTGAAAGTCGAGTGAAAGGTTTATTAAGGCAATTTGCTCATATAAATTCAATATTGACGGATCTGATTTTTCTGTAAATTTCCCTCATATTTTCTCCGATTCTCTTATTAGTTATTATTTTGTCATTAGTATACTTTACAATTAGAATCCGATGGAGTGTTTCACAAAAATATTAAAGAAGTTTCGGGTATCCTCAGTTGATGCCATACATATTGAGGTGGACTTGGGAAAAAGACCGGCCGATATCGGAGAGCTCACACGATTTCATATATGTTGAGGTGGACTTTGGAAAAAGACCGGCCGATATATTAGACAAGAAACTTACAACTGTTTTCATTGGCCTTCCGCCGTTCCCCGTAGATATTTGAAAGTTGAAAACCTAAGAAATCGGTGGAATAATATTCTATTATTACTATTATTACAGTCCTTGAAAGGAAAAGTAAGACAAGATTCAGGCCGCGTTTTCTTCGATCATCATATATGCAAGGATGGATTCATCGGTCATACATTAGACTTCGTCACTTCTTCTTCTCAGTTCTCAGCCGTTCGATACGGCCGAGATAACCCAACTTCATCATCATTTTGGGACAAACCCATGGTATACTTCTCCATTGATTATTTCCAAGATTTTATCAGGTGATATATATATACACACACTCCCCTCTCTCTGTAGCAAAATTATTATGCATTTTAAATATTTCATTTTTAATTTAATTTTTTGTATTAAAAATGAAAATTTGAACTGAACAAGTTTAAATATTTCACTTTTATATAATCATATAAAAAAAAAATCGGCAACAAATTATTCGACAAGTCTGTTTGCTTAAATTTTGTGCTTTTTCCCAAACTTATACTACAATTCTCCTTCTAAAAAAATAATTATTTTGTTGAATTAAAATAATATAATGTAGAATATTTTTGGAGCGAAAAAAGTTAGTGATGTATAAGTAGGACCTGCATGGGGAGCCATCAACTTGTAAGATAAGACTTCCAAATCCAAATTATGAAATACTCTAACCTAGCATCATGAAGAAAGAGTACACAAGAAGTATGTACATAGTATCTACCTAGTTATCATTTATTTACGACAATTATCAAATATTGATAACTTGTGCAATAGGGAATGTTCCGCGAAATGTTTGCCAAAAAATAAAAAAAAATTACGAAATCCTTTATCACAGATTAAAATACGTGCTCTTCAAACATATATCCTCAGACTCTATGTGACATATATATATATATATATATATAATTAGATCGGCAAGGAATTTCAATGTAAGAACTACGAAGGATCATCAGTAGTATTGATTCGATCTCCCTTTTTTTTAAACCAAAAAAAAAAAAAGAAGAAAGAAGTAATAATGTCTGAAAGTAATGTGATAAAAGATAAATTCTCTTTTTGCATAAGACGAAACTTACTCCTTTTTTTTTTGGGGGGGTATGATGGAGCTATTTTAGATTTACTCAAATAATATTAAAAAAAAATACACCATGGAAAGAAAACCATTTGAGGACATTATAAGTTCATAACTAAAGATACACAAGTAGCAAAAAAAAAAATCATCCGTGGATTGCTGACTTAATATACCAAAATAAAAAAATAAAAAAATAAACTGATCCCAAAGTCGTATTTTTCTTTACTTGTACAGTTGTACTTCAAATTAAAGTATATTTTTTTACATTATAAAAGAAAAAAAAATCACCTAAAGTCTGAAGTCTCCGTTTATATTTTATGATACTTTGAAAAATACTTGTGACTCACTCAAAAAGAAAACAAAACAAACACAGTAGCTTTATTGTTCCTCCATCACATGGTTTTTTATGTGATTGCGTCAAAATACACGAAGTAAGTATTATTTTAAATTTCTTAATATAAGGTATTTTGATTTCGTTATGTTTCACTTAATAGGTTAATCCGATATTTTTACTTGATGAGAAAACCTTAAAACTATAGTTTTACATTTGCTATACTCTCTTTATTGTTATGAAATGTTTTTAAGGTTTTTTTTACACGAAGCAATTAGAAATGCGTACTAGATAAAACCTAAAACAAATCAAAATGCTCTATATTAAGGACCGGAGACAGTATATTTTATTATTTCTTCGTATATTTTACACGCAATAGCTTGTCTGAAAATTAAGCCAAAAGTCAGTCAGTCAAGTCAACCCCACAATTCAAATAAGAACTTCCTCAATAACTAACTTATGCTCTTCATTCATCATCTCTCTTCTCCCCTTTTGGTTTTTTTGCCTTTAAATACAACCAAAACTCAGAAGCATTTTTCTCAGTCTAAACCAAAACTCCAAGAACCTAAAATCTTGGAGGAAAGCAAGAGCAATCTCATCATCATCATCATCATCCCTTTGAAGGGTTTTTCTGGATAACTGCTAAGAACTTGAACTCATCATCCATTTCTTTTGATCAATAATCTGGTTAAAGAAAAATGGCACTTGTTGAACTTCCCACAACCCCAAAAAGAGCCATTTCACGAATCTTCGCCCCATCAAATACCTCATCCCCAATGTCCTCATTATCCAATCATTTCCCTACTCCTCCATCAACATCGTCTTCGCGAACGATGTCCGAATCCATGATGGATGAAAATATGGAAGTTGCAGGGGCCATGATCACTAAATGGGATGTCCAAGGTTCCACCGTCGAGAAATTCACCTCGCTCTTCCACGAAAACCGGAAAGAAGCCAAGGAATTCATCAAGTGCGTGAATGACTTGCGCAGGGCGATGCATTTCTTCGTTTCGCAACGTTCTGCGGCTTCTTCAAAACTCGTGCCGGCTCAGAACTTGATGAAAATGGCGATGCAGAGACTCGAGCACGAGTTCTACCAGATTCTGTCTGCGAACAAGGCATATTTGGATCCCGAATCAGTTTCCAGCCATTCTTCTCGCCTCTCTTCCACCTCAAACGATGAAATTGAGGATTTTAGCTCTGATAATGAGATTCAGAGAGTTGGGGAAGCCATATCTGAGGTGGAAAGGCTTTCAGTGTTGGCCATGTCTGATTTAAGGATGATTGCTGATTGCATGATTCGGTCTGGTTACAGCAAAGAATGTATAAATATCTACAAACTTATCAGAAAATCAATTGTAGATGAAGGGCTGTATCGGCTTGGTATTGAGCGTTACAGTTCATCCCAGATCAGCAAAATGAATGCAAGTGATCTGGAGCGTCAGATCAAGACGTGGCTGCGTGGCGTAAAAATCGCTGTCAAAACTCTGCTTCACGGAGAGAGACTTCTCTGTGATTATGTATTTTCAACCTCCGAGACAATAAGAGAATCATGCTTTGCTAATATAGCAAAAGAAGGTGCTACAAACCTGTTCAGGTTCCCAGAACTGGTTGTGAAAAGTAAAAGATTGCCTGAAAAGGTTTACCTGCTTATGGACTTGCACGAAGCTCTCTCTGATGTCTATCCGGAAATTGAATCAGTCTTTTCAAATCAGTCAGTGTCCTCTGTCAAATTGCAAGCTCTTTCTTCCATCCACAAGCTTGGTGATGCAGTCCAGTCAATTATAGCCGAATTCGAGTCATCGGTTCAAAAGAACTCATCCAGATTCCTTGTTCCTGGTGGTGCAATCCATCCACTGACCATTTCTGTAATGGATTATGTGTCTAAACTTGCCAACTACAGTGGCGTTTTGTCCGGCATCATCGGGGATTCAACATCAGCAACACAACTGCAGTTTCCCGAATCCTACTTTGAGAGTCCAGTGGCTAATGACACTCCAACTTCAGCTGTGTCTGTTCGACTTGCCTGGATCATCCTTGTCCTGCTCTGCAAACTTGATACCAAAGCTGAGTACTACAATGACATTGCTTTGACATATCTTTTCTTAGCAAACAATCTCCGGTTTGTTCTTGAAAAGGTCCACAACACAGCTCTCAAGTTCATTCTAGGAAACGACTGGATGGCAAAGCTTGAAAGAAAGATTAAAGTGTTTGCAATCAACTATGAAATGATGGCTTGGGGAAATGTGCTTGGCTGCCTGCCTGAAAATTCACAAGATGAGATGTCACCTGATACCGTAAAGGCGTATTTCCGGTCATTCAATGCAGCCTTAGACGAGGCATACCGGAAACAAGTGTCCTGGGTGGTTCCTGATCGGAAGTTACGAGATGAAATCAAACTGTCCATAGCCCGGAAATTGGTGCCAGCATATGCGGAATTCTATAACATTCATATTGAAACACTCAAGGGGGAGAGCAGCTTAGAAGTGCTGGTGAGGTTTTCACCAGATAACTTGGGAAATTACCTGTCAGACATACTTCATGGAACTGATGTTTCAGAGAGTTCATCACCATCATCAAGTTCCCGAGCAATAAGATGTCTCATATGATGTTGTCAAAGAAAACTTATTTTTTTATTATTTTATTTCTTTGTTTTTGGTTGTAACTTTGCTCTTGTTTTTCTTGCTCCAACGAAGTGAGCAGACTAGAAGATAAAATGTTACTGTTTGTCGACAACTAAATGAAAGCTGTTTTTTTGCATTCTTCTGTGTGTCAAAAATGGGACTTTTTAAAAACAGCAGGGAAATAAAAGTAGGAAACACGACTGAGTGACATAATGATAAAACTAGGATCTGCCATGGACTGAGTGACATAATGATAAAGCGTAAATGCTATTGCAGGAGTTTATTCCAAACCGATTCAGAAAATATATCATGTTTCTAATCGATACAGAGTGTTTCCACCAATATTTCCAAGATCCAAATGTGACAGGAGATTTACAAGGTAAATACGAAGGGATTATCATGCAGGGGGCAAACAACCGCCACCTTCTTCAGCTGGAAGAGGGACAGATTGCCAACCTGTGCAAATCTGTAGAACAGCTTTAAGAGAGTCTGAGGAAGGTTCCAATGTCCAAACGGGGTAAAATTCACTGGGATGGAACATATATTCTTCGCTAGCTCCTGGTGGTAAAAATCCTTGAGCTCCATTCAGAAACCAATCCCCTTCAGATCTTATAAGCCCTGACCTAGCCTCTTCCTTATCTGCAGCCTGCAGAACCATTACAAATTCAACGTGACGGGAAAACACCAAGGCTTTGCTTCGAGATGCAGATAAGTTGATAACAGAATCAAGAGCAGGGAGCACCAGATAGTTTGTCTCGTTTCACAAGAAGGCTCAAGTTGAAAAGGGTAGATAGTAGGCAGTTAGGCCAGATGCAAAGAAAGGGGTAAGAACGCTCAATCATTTCATGTTATTTCAAGTAAAGAAAATTTACACCCTCTAGCAAGCCAGATTAAACAAACAGTAAGCGTGCACGTGAAGACATGTATCAAGAAGCACTCAGAAAATCAATGCACATAACAGCAACTCTGGGATATCAGAACCACAAATCTAATAGTAAATCAAATCATAGTAATCATCTAGTTCTCAGGGGTACTTTTTTTTTTTCGAACAGCCACGGGTACATGGAAAGCAAGAAATTCAACATCAGCTTGGCCTAGTAAAGTTTTCATTTTCCGAGGGTTTCCTAACATGGTTTAAACTAATGTCAAATGTCAAAATCTGTCTCTGATAAGCATGAGACCTGGTCTTGTAAAATGTGACATGTATACCGTAGGGAATGCACAATCATCACATCAGCAGAGAGAGAAATGTTTTCTCAAGATCTACTCAACATTAGACGTAACTATGCCTATATATTTTTTGACACCATTAAAAGGGCAGAGAGTTATTGAACTTGTATTTTCAACCTGAAGAGACTAAAAAATTTTAGTTTTTCCTTGAGATCCGAATCAATGCAAGGTTTTGGTTGCAGAATATCATTTGTGATGTTTCATCTTCCATAATAAGCTGCAACCTTTTTATTTACTATATTAACCGATAAATGCAAATCTTCGGAAACCAGATTGCATCAAACATATTCAGCTACAGGCTAATTACATTTTATATGGAATCTGTGACATAATTTTTCTGTTCTCCTCCCAAACCCATGCTGACTTCGTAAAAGATTTTCTGTAAAATGAAACTCTGCTCAACCTTATAAACATCTTGGTAATACCTTCTTCAACATATATGGCCTTTGTATTTTTTCCAGTTTTACCCATGCCCCACCTAACATTCAGACCCTTTCTTGTCTACTTTATCATAGTTACTTGTACATTGTCATCCTTTCAGAATAGTCGGAGTACCAGTATACGAAAATAATATTGCATACAACAACAAAAAAGGGGGAAGCAATAAAGACACAGTCTTTTGTTGTAAGGCTAGAGATAACAACAGAGAATAGGACATCTTGCCCCATTCAGCTAGTTAAAAATATACAACAAGTGCATGCAATGATATCAACAAAGAAAACAGAGTTCTGAATAAGCTTCATGTTGTGAAATGCAGATAGAAAGACTGTGATACCTTTTCGGTGTAATACTCGAAAGCTTTTTTCTTCTGCCCTGCTTCATAGATGTTGCACTGGGAATATATCTGGTAACAATAAAGATTCAAGCATTGTCATCAAACCAATAGCTTTCATACAAATGGTCACATAATCATAAACCGTGAATTTCCAAACTCTCAGTTCAGATAAAAGGAATTACTTGCGATTCTACACTCGCACAAATAGCATATATGCCCCAGTTTCTTGTGTAATTGTTGTAGAGATGAACTTTCCCAAACCTAACACGAGGGTGCCTCTGCCGCGTGCCATCAAAAAAGCAATGGTGAATTGTAACTCTTATACATCTATCACCAACATGAGTGGGATCTGCTCCTATAAGCATCGTCTTATCGTGTTGCGCAAAGTGACATCTACAAATTCAAAGCAAGCAAGCAATCAATCAGTTTCCAATACTAATGACAACCATAAAACTTAAAAAAGTGCCATATCCATTGTACTAACAATAACAAACCTAGATACAGTGATATCAGTGCTTTGTCTGGTGATATCAATGAGCCCATCATCGTAATCCCGAAGACTACACCGGTCAATCCATATGTGCTTAGAATTGGGCTTAATTTGAATGCCGTCAATATCATGCCCTCTACCGCCTTCAAACTCCAAATTACATATAATTATGTGTTCACAATCCTTGAGCCTTAAACCTTTCCCAGTAAATTTTATCCTTTGGCCACGACCATCAATAGTCTTATAAGACGAAACATTTAGGTAGGATGAAAGATGTATGGTGCCGGAAACTGTGAAACAAATCCAAAGAGGTTCTTTCCGACGACATGCATCTCGCAAAGATCCGGGGCCATCATCTACAATAATAATCAAATCAAATCAAAGGACATGAAAATTTTCCGCAACAAAATCACAATTGAATGTCAATAGATTTCAATTAGATTCCAGATTCTTTATCTCTGGGAGGGGCGTAGCTTAACGAAATCGACGATAGATAAAATTGAAGGAAATAGAAAGAATGAAGAATACCCGCCAAATTGGTGACGTAGCGAACCGGTCCGTGGACGCCACCGACAGAGAAACGGCCGAAACCTTCGGCTCTGCCGGCCAATGCTCGGAGGCTGGAATCAGCGTCGGCGTACGGTAACGTCGTCATGTTATTCTAGTTTCCTTTCCCCTTTCACCAAAAAGCTTCCGTTCCCCCGGCAAGCAGTTCATAGTACTTAACATATTTTGGTTTGACTAGTTGATGAGGACAAATAACAAATCGGTCAACTTTTTCCATCTGTTTTTCTTATTTTCTTTTATAACCTCAAAACGGGTTATTAAACTATGAGATAATTCTAATACAGACTATCAATCAAATTTATTTGTATAACAGGTCACTCTAGTAAGCAAAAAATTCATCCGAGATCATTCTGTTAATTTTGGCCATTAAATAGTGACGGAAATTCATTTTTCACATGCTTTTGGGTTCAGGGGTATTTTTATCATTTTCTTATTTTTATTTTTTTTGAAAAAATTATTATTATTTTTCTATTTTTTTTTTACAATTCTTCTTCTTATACTTCATAAATTATATATATTGGTAGTATAATTCTAAATTTCAAAAATTCATTTTAATTTTGTATTTTAACTTCTAAATTATAAATTTTTAAAAAAAATTAAGAAATGAAGAAGAAAAATTCGAGTTAAAATAAACATAAAAATTAATAATTTATCATTTCAACTAAAATAAAAACTAAAAGAATTAGTTAAGACAAGTTGTTTCTTCTAGGTTATTTAATTACTTTCAACTAGATTTAATCATTTAATTATTAATTTTCACGTTTACTTCAATTTGAATTTCTCTTCTTTATTTTTTTTATAAACTAGAAGTTAAAATACAAATGATAAATTAATTTTTGAAATTTAATAATGATACTAGTAGTAACATATATAAGTTAGGAAGCAAAAGAAGAAGAATCGTAAAAAAAAATAATTGAAATATTAATATTTAATATATATATTGATGAAATTACTCTGGACCCAAAATAAGGTGAAAAATAGCTTTCTGTCACGATTTAACTCCCAGAATAACCTAGGGGAAATAACTTCTCTTAGGGAAAAAAAAATTATAATCTAGAAGTTAAAATATAAAATTTAAATTAATTTTTTAAATTTAAAAATTATACTACCAGCATATACATGTTAGGAAGTGTAAGAAGAAGAATTTTAAAAAAAATTCAAAAAAAAAATTAAAAATAACAAAATGATAAAAATACCCCTGAACTCAAAAGTATGTGAAAAATAGATTCCTGTCACTATTTAACAGTCAAAATTAACAGAATGATCTCGAATGAATTTTTTGCTTAGTAAGGTGATCTGTTATACAAATAAATTTGATTGATGACCTGTATTAGAATTACCTAATAGTTCAATAATCCGTTTTGAGGTTCACTCTTTCTTTTATTTGTAGAACAGTGAATAATATATTTCATGTTATCACTTGATCTAAGAAATTAGTATTGGTTGGAACTAATGAATTAAATTACGACCAAAGGTTCAATTATAGACATAAACATGTATCATAAATTAACAAGAATATATAATGAGGGTTTTGCATCCTAATCAGAACTTATCTTGGTCGATCAATTCTCAAAGTTTTAAGTTTACATAATTGAAATTTGTAACACATTAAAAATGCATTGAAAATCCACATTTTTTTGGGTTTGGCTTGGGTGATAATTTGATGTAATGTAGCATTAGCAAGCTGGCACTATGCTCGAGTGGTTGTTCGAATCGAATATAGATTTTAATGATTATAATCGAACAAATAGTTTTTTTTGTTATAACATATTTGTCTTGTTGAATTTTTATTTTTAGTGCAAATCGTTTCGAGGCGGGTGGAGTACAGATTATCAGTTAAAATAATACCATGTCACAAAAACCTATTAAAATCATATATAAATGACAATTATCAATAAAAAAATATATAAACAAAACCTTAGTGAGATTTATGAATATATAAGATATTCTCGATAAAATATTTTAAAATCAAATAAGGATCACAAATTACAAAATAAAAAATAACTTATCCTCTTTGTTTTTTTACTTTTTTTTTGAGAAGAAAAAAGTATAATATTAATTTAGATTAGATGGTCCGTGACAATGATTGTCATAAAACTCTTATGGAGAATTAAAAACATTAAACAATATGAAAAAAAAATAAGTGCAAACGAATAGGACAATACTAGTATCTCAACTATAGGAGATAAAAAAAAAAAAAAAGTAAAAATATCTAGGGCCAAATATATATGATCTAAGAACGATTGTGTGAAAATGCAAAGGCATTGGAAATTGTTACTGAGCACTTTGTCTAAAAATATTGTCTAATTTAGATTTTTAAAAAAGTTTTAGTGCAATTTGTATAGTATTATATATACTATATAAAAAAGTGAAAATAACTTAACAATCCAAAAGAACTAAAAATTAATAGAAGGTAATTTTACATTTAATAACGGTTTGACTTCGTTGGTCAAAGGGGTGTTGGTTGTTAAGTTTGAAACATCCAGTATATCTCCCCTATATAAATCATGTGCATCTCTTATATTCTCTAAGGTTAAAGGATTTTTTTGGTACAATAAAGGAGGCAAAAGTCTAATTTAAAATAAAACAAGTAACAAGAGAATTTTACTAACTACATCTTGTTCCGGTCGCGACTCAACACAAAAAAGGAGAAGCTGAACATCAGAAACCTTGAAAGATTTTGATTTGTGATAAAAAAAAATAAAAAAAAAAACCTTAAAAATATTTCATATACTCAAGAAGACACAACAAATGTTGTGAAAATTTTTTAAGTTTTTGTCAATTAAAAATATTATGAAATCTATGACAAATCAAATACTAAATCAATCGGTCCCTATCTCTCAGAAGATTCGTTCTCGTCGTTGCCTCCTTCCGTTTGCTCAACCGTGCGTTGGCCTTCATCTTTTCGTCTTATCTTCAATACATTAACCAACAGGTTAATGTATGTTAGATCTTCTTTTAATTAAAATTTTCTCATGTATAGTGTTTGTCAATATAATAAGTGTTAACGATAATTATCAATAGTAGAGTTGCAATCTATTTTAGTGATGGAGATTTATTTTAGTGATAATTTCTAGTGAGAATGTAATAATTATCAAAAGTAGTTTTTATCACTAAAGTTGTTTTTATCCAATAGTATAGGCATGCCTACAAATATGACATCTACTTTTATTTTGTATTTTAAGTCAATAATAATGTAGTATTCAAAGTTTATTCTAATTTCTTTCTCCTTACTAGTTGTGGGCCCGTGCGTTGCCGGATTGTGGAAATATTTTGGCATAATTAGTGCAGGAAAAAAACTAGATAAAAAGTGAATAATAAAAACACGGCACATATATCTTTAAAATTTTAGAAAAAAAAAGATTTCAAACAGTAAGTAAATACAGAAATCCATAATGGCCACACATTTTTTCTTTATTATGATTAAATGTGGTAACACATACGTAATATGTTAGAACATATAAAAGGGCACGTCATCTTTATTATGATGTATGGTCTCGATTATACATCGCTTAGCAACACATTCATCTCATCAATCTGCAACACAAAGTTATTGTAGAAAAAAAAAGGATGAACTACCTGAAGTGACTAATTCACCTTTCAAACGGGACGAAAATTGACTTTGCTTATGCACCAGACTGCTGTCACAGCCTCTAATTTGGGTTATTTATAGTACATAAGATAACTATGGTCGTAGGGTTTAACATGTTATAGGATATTTTTGGTAATTATTTTATATGATTTTGTGGATAAGTTAAAACTTCAGGCTTTACTGATAGAATTTGGAGCAATTAATTAACATATTTGGGGAGTTTGCGAATATGGACGGAATATTATTCTGGTTAATTTACCCATAATTTTTAAAATAAATTTCATTTATTAATTTTCGGATGTGGGAGGGAATTAGGGTGATAAATTTAAATCTCATTACTTTCGAATTTTAAAATCATATCATAATGTGCTATAAATTTGGAAGTCATATTTGGAAATGATATTTATTGTGCTTTTTTGAAAATTCTGAAAGCGTTTAGAAACGTTTCAAAATCACGGTTGATGTGCCATACGTCCAGACCATGTTCAATGTTAAACAATTATTATGTTTTTTATTTACCTTGGTTAATGAAATATATATGAATAAATAAGTTAAATTAAATAGTTACCAATTTTTTTTACTATATCTAATTAGGCTTGATTTTTATGATTGTTTGATTGGACATCTCATTATGTGACACATGTCCGAAAAACTTATTCTCTTAATATATAGGATTTATTTTTCTTCATATTTTTAATTTTCTTCTATAAGTACTGTATTATTTACGATGAATCATCTGTACTCGGAAATCTGATCAGAAAGAAATATTTTTATGCTATACGGTTGCAGGGGTAGGGGTAAGCATGCCGATCAGCGAGCCTACGATGGTAAGCATTTGTATGCTTCTTGCGCTTGGTGCGGCTGGTGGTTTGAGTTACTGGAGAGAGAAAGAATTAGAACGTTGTATAAATAGGATGTTTTGGTGATCTAAATTCTACTCCCTCCATTCCAAAATAAGTGTCGTTCTACACTTTGCACAGAGTTTAAGAAACTCTTAAATAGGGTAATAAAATTACTTGAATATCCTCAACCAAACCCATTATAAAATTGTCTACCAATAGCATCAACTCTTTTGAGGGTAATTTTGGAAACTTTTGACAAAAAGTGCATTGAAATGTGAGAACGATACTTATTTTGAAATTTCTCCATTTTGCTAAAACGACACTTATTTTGGAATGGAGGGAGTATAATATTGTTGTGTCTTCCATAAAACTAAATATCTGACCAACTAAAGGACCCAAATATCTATGATCCAACAAACGATTGCGAAACTGGACACACAGTGAAAATCGCTACCTAGTTGTAATATCTTTTGCGCGGGATGATATGAAAATTGAAATATGTGTTTCTTCACTTGGAAAGCATGGGAGTATTTATTTGCATTGAAACAAGTTGTGGAAATCGTGTACCCAACGGCAAACGGTTCAAGTCCTTCTGACTTCTGACATGAATAAATTGAAGAACGTACGTACCCCCCATCGGAATTTAAAATTCTCGAACCACCTCCAAGTTCCCAACGCCCCAACTTGGACCTGCCAAAACAATAAAAAAAAAAATCCGTGAGAATTTTGATAAACCTCTATAGGGGGGCAATATGATGATTATGGATGAATTTGTTGCATAATAAATATTCTATCTGATCCCAAAACGAAACAAGAATTGGAGAGAATTCTAAATTTTCTTCTTTTTTTTTTTCGTTGAGATAAAGAGAGACAAAATCCTATGATAGTAGTTAAAAACATTAATCAATTCAACCAAGTAAAATCTCTTGGGATGAGTTCCTTATTGCCATTGATGAACTCTTTCATGAATGCTTGGCCTTCCTTCAGGTTCACTTGGATTTTGTTGGGCCTCTTTTTCCTTTTGAATTTTAAAAAGTGTACTGTAGTAGTAGTAGTAGTTACAACTCATATTGGGAATTGGGATGCATAAATAACACTGCCAGTTCCCAACAGCCACAAGATGGTGAAAGAAAATGACCCTAGTACCGCGAGAATGAGTCTAGTCAATTTTTTTGGACAGCTTTTTTATTTACTGATTTTAGGACAAATTTCGAGCTCAAACATCGTGGGTTGGAGTTGGAGACTTGGGAGTTTCTGAAATCTCTCTTTCGGCTATTGTTTTCTTTTTCATTACCGTGCATTTATTTCACACAAGTTTTTCTAATGATGTGCATTCATCCGTGCTGTTTTAATTGTAATGATAATCTGCACTAGCACTACTTAAAATCATCTTATTAGTACTAGATCATTTATATGCATTTGAGTTAATTCCAACGTAGTAACGTACCAATCGTACTTCTATCACACACAAATTTGTCTTAATTAGCAGCCTTACTTTTTCCCCTTACACAAAAACACAATAATTAATTGTTTCCTCTATTACATTGTCTGGTGAAATTAAAAAAAAGAAAATCACAGGTACAGTCTGCAGCCATATTTAAATTATCATTTCATCTGCCCCAATGGAAGATCTTAAAGGGTATTCCACCGGTTTGTTTGGTGAGAGCATTTGATGTTGTTTGTACCCTTTTAACCAGTTCTAAGCTCCTATATATATAGAGAGATACTAAAAGGTTGTCCTCACCATTGTCATATCACATTATTGTAAGAAAAAAGAAGTAATACTACAAAGCTTACAGCTTTTTCCACGTTCATGCTGTTTTTTGTAATTCAGCATTGCACCAATAGAATTCAATCTTCAGCAAAGTTCTGTTCATTTCCAGCTTTTGCTTTCCTGGAAATGGAGATTACAGGATTTGTATTTGTCATTTTTCTCGTCTACCTCGTATCCCGCATTTACAAGCTAGTTCTGCAGAGGAGGAACCAATGTTGTTACATGCTAAGTTATGAATGTTATAAGGCTCCCCAAGACAGGAAGTTAAACACGGATTTGTGCGCTTCGATGGTCTTGAGAAACAAAAATCTGGGCTTGGAAGAGTACAGATTTCTGTTGCAGACTATTGTCAACTCAGGCATTGGTGAGGATACTTATGCCCCTAAAAATGTCATATTGGGCAGGGAGGCGGATCCCCTTTTAGACGATTCCATAATGGAAATGGACGATCTCATGTTTGATACGCTCGACAACCTTTTCGAGAAATCAGGGATTTCCCCTCAGGAAATTGATATACTGGTGGTGAATGTGTCACTGCTGTCAGCTGTTCCATCCTTAACGGCGCGAGTTATTAACCGTTACAATATGAGATCCGATGTTAAGGCATTCAATCTGTCTGGAATGGGGTGTAGCGCGAGCCTTGTCGCCATTGATCTGGTCCAACAACTGTTTAAAGTTCATAAGAATTCTCTTGCCGTTGTTGTTAGCACTGAAGCTTTGGGTGCAAGTTGGTACCGCGGCAAAGAGAAGTCCATGATGTTGTCGAATTGCTTGTTCCGGTCTGGTGGTTGCTCAATGCTGTTCACGAATAACAATGCGCTTAAGCATCGGGCGATCCTGAAGCTAAAATGCATGGTCAGGACTCATTATGGATCAAACGATGAAGCATATGACTGCTGCATCCAAATGGAGGATGATCAAGGTTATCGTGGTTTTCGCCTCACGAAGAAGCTAGTTAAATCTGCAGCTCAGAGTTTCATCATAAACCTGAAAGTCCTGGGGCCTAAAATGCTTCCAGTTTGGGAATTAGTTCGCTACGCTGTGGTATCCATTCAGAACAGTAAACTGAAAGGTGCATTGGCTCCAAATCTGAAAGCTGGAACAGAACATTTTTGCATACATCCTGGCGGAAAGGCCGTGATTGATGGCGTTGGAAAGAGCTTAAATCTTTCGGATCATGATCTTGAACCGGCTAAAATGACGCTTCATAGATTTGGTAACACTTCTGCAGGTGGGCTCTGGTATGTTTTAGGCTACATGGAAGCTAAGAAGAGACTCAGAAAAGGTGACAGGATACTGATGATCAGTTTTGGAGCTGGATTCAAGTGTAACAATTGTGTGTGGGAAGTCATGAGGGATTTGAAGGATGCAAACGTCTGGGAAGACTGCATCGACAAGTACCCTGTGAATTCTGTGGCCAATCCTTTTATGGAGAAATATGGATGGATACATGATGAGCATATGAGCTTCATTAGAATGGAGGATACAAGTTTTTTCACTTGATTAGCTTCGAAATTTGTCCTTTCCCTGGATTGTGCTCTGTCTGTTTCCTAAATGTTTTCGTTTCACTCTGCATTTTCTAGATCTAATTGATTTAAGCTGTTTTGACTATGCCCTCACGATGGCAAGCAGTATGTTGAATCTTCATTATATGAAATACAATGGTGCAACAGTTTAGTGTTTGTTTCAACGAAATGAAAGAAATTCCCAAAGAGCAATTAATTCGTCTACATTGGTTGTTAAGTTGCTGTTTTTTTTTTTTTTTTGCTTTTATGTATTTCAGTACTTCAAGTTCAAATGCTTCCATGCCAAGTAGTAGGAGTAGTATTTGTATTCCGACAAACAAGAAAAAAATGCTCTCAACACCTATCATTCACACAGTTCAGTTTATGCATGTATTCAATACGGTGAACTATTGCCTCTCTGTTCAGGGAACTACAAAAAGAGACCGAATCCAGTGCACACCACAAATCCCTTCTTTTGACGACGAATCAGGGGTTGACAACCAGATCGTGTTTCATAACTCACGAGTGACGAATTTTTGTAACGTATTCTTGTAATCTGAAAATCAAACTGTTCGTGGCTTCATTCCCTTTCTCTTGAGATGTACTTTTCCTCGTTGCATTCGAACTCGTGTCGTGTCATAAATTGCAAGATTAGACGTAAAGGGCCCCGGGCACAGCTAGGTGAAGTTATTATCAGCACAAGCACCTGGCAGTGTCAATTGATTACAGACTGATATCCTCCTAACTGGTCCTCAGGATTCTGGATAGGAAATGAGTCTCAAATTTCCAGTAATTTATTGTGCGTGATGGGTATCTCTTTTTTGCAGCAATTTAAGTTACATTGCCTTTGATACATGAACAACATTACAATTCGACTAATCAAAGCATTTATAAATGCGAAAAAACAATCTGCAACCAATAAGAAAGTGTCTTTCCAACCCTTACCTAATTTCCTGACAATGCAATGAATTCCAAATACAGAAAATGGAACACCACTCCTCTTTTTTGAATCACATTTCAAAATACATGGCAACCCTACTGCAGAGTACAGGCTGCCGAGGGAAGTCCTGGAGATTTTACATTTACTGCTAGATCGTACAATTATGATCTTACTACATTGCAAAATTCTGCACAATAATTTACTCTGGACCACATCATAATCTGCCTATACTTAACTGAAACCGTAAAATGTCGTTGCAACTTTGCTAGAATGGCGTTAGTTTAGTTCCCTTTATGTTATTTTTCTATCCGATGATGGTCGAATGTCGATCAGGCTAATTAATTAGTGCACACATCATCAACATAATAATTTGTTTACCCAGTACTTTTTGAGTTCTCTTGGCTCAGAAACATAGTGATAAGGTGATAGAGCGGCTATAGTAAATCATCAATTTTTGTTGCTGTAAGAGAGTTCTGGTTTCGCCTCCTCATATGTTATAGTTACCAGTGACTTTGTGAGAGGTCAAAACTCAAAAAGAGTTTATTCATCACTTTGATTTTGAGGCTCAGTATTTTGCTTCGGAGATGATAGCGCCAGAGTCCCACATCGGCGGAAGCTGGAAGTTTGCATACGGAAAACGCTATAAAGCGAGGCTTGCCTTCTCAGTCAAGGCCACGGAGCTGCGTGGTGAGCACAGAGCGAACTATTCTTTCGCCTTTTACTAAAGAATACCGTGTGCACGCCACGATAAAGCAGCATACGCCAATTTTTGGAGGGTGTTTCCTTTATCGGAAGCCCCAACAAGTACAGTTAAATATTTTACTTAGGAAAGCCCAAGTTTTCTTATAGCCTCTATTGTGTTTTTTGGGATTAGGCTCAAATGCAATAAGTAACCATAATACAGAATACTTAACACAATCATTTCAAATAAAAAAAATCTTAATCACACTATAATTCTAATTTTTGCTTGAAGAGTTAATTTTTGCCACAACAGGACCATCAGCGTAGAGCGTGTATGTATATGGCAAGGGATTATGATCGTACGGTATTTTATGGAATCAAATATGCACTACTTACTGACAAAAGTATTAGATTATTGGGGAAAATCAATATACTTTTAATGTTGAGTCAAAGATTAACTACGACAAAAATAAAACATTGGGTTGAACTCTTCTTTGAGATCAAGGTCCATCTACCAAATAAAAAAGAGTTGAACTAATTGGATTTGGTGTACCTAAAAATAATAGTAATAATAATAATTGGATTTGGATTATATAAGTTTTGATCCAACTTATCATTAATTAAGAAAAAACAAACTTTTTCGTATTCATAATTTTAGCAAAATTTTCCTAATTTTTTTTGTTAATATTTTAGTGTAACTTATAATTACTACTTTTTTTTTTACTAAAATTATTGTCCAGTTTAGATTTTCATTTGTATTTTATTTTATATTAAAAATAAAAATTCAAATGAAACTTCAAACTAAACAATAATTTCGAGATAAAACTAAGACTTTTCATAAATTCATATTAGTAACCCTAGCCTGTTAAGCACCCCGGAGTTCATTGATCTCCTTTATAAAATTTTATTAAATTCAAGGATGTAAAAAGAAAATAAGTTGTGCCCAAAATAAGCAACTTTTTTTTTTTACAAAAAAAATAAGCAACTGAAAGTGGAATTTTTTCCTTAAATATATTTCCTTATATATAACTGGACAAAAATAAACCTTCTAAAAATTTTGTAGACAAACTTATATATCCCGGATTACGGATATCCGAATGGGGGGTAAACTCGGATTTCCGAAATCCAAAATTATATAAACTCGGATTAGAGAAATCCGACTTTGTGTTACGTAAATCCGATATTAAGTTAATGACAGAAATTAGTGTAATTAATCTAAATCTAGATTTTTCAAATCCGTATTTACGAATAAAATATTAATTTCCGGATAGAAAAAAATATGTGTTGAATAATTAAATTTGGGAAAACCCGCATCACGGTAATCCGAATGAATGTAGATTCGGATTACCGTAATCCGAATCTCCTCTATTTTCTGCAAAATGCTAACTCTCAGTTGGCTACATACTCGGATTTACAAAATCCGAATCCTTTACAAAAAGTATGGGTTCGGATTTCCTAAATCCGAGTCTATGTCAGAACTGAAAAAAAAATATTGGAAAACAGAAATTTAATGACAACAAAACAATAAACGACATTTGATTAACAACAAAACAAATCAAGTTTTATACCAAAATCAATACAAAACCTACTTTAAATGTGCAAAATACATCAAATGTCTCATTTTTTTCCCTTTTCTTTTATTGTGCGCATCCGGAGTGTATTTATTTGGGCCCTGCCGGATCCTGTCTCCCTTCTTAAGATACGTGAGTATTAAACTCTGTTGTGGTTGAGACTGTCCACCAAACTGAGGCTCGAGTTGGGGTTGGGATTGGGAATCCCCCATGGTGAGAAATTTGACTCCCGGTTGTGGTTGCGACTGTCCACCAAACTGAGTCTTGGGTCCACCAAGGTCAAACTGAGTCTTGGGTCCACCAATGTCTTCAAATTGAGTCTCGACCTGGATGCGTGAACCTCGAGAAAAATGTGCTTGATCCTCATTTTGTTGACCCTCAGTTTGTTGTTGCGATGTCCGAGGGGGGATTGGGACCTTCCTCTTTCTTCCTCCTCCAATCTTATCTCTCGACCACGGTTTCACTTTTTTTCCCGGCGGAGGTTGTGAGGGCAAAGATGGATCTTCATCAACCAGGATTGGAGTATCCTCCACGTCCATCTCATTATTTGCACCCAGGGTTAAAGCAACATGTGTTTGATTGATGATATCGTCCAAATGCTTGTCGAGTTCTTCGTCTAGGAGATTCTCATCTTCTCGTTTTTCTCTAAACTTCTCGGAACTCACGCGAATGTTGTTCAATACTTCACCCTGAAAAGAAATTGGGACGTTAATTAAGAGAGTAAAATTCTAAAAAAAAAAATTTAAAAAAATAAAATGAAAACATAAGAAATGAAAAAAAAAAAAAAAAGAATGAACTCACATATAATTTCACTCGGCTCGAAGAAGTCTCGTATCCTTGAGGTTCATAATTTTTGGGATTGGATATCAGTCTGACAGTGTTCACCATGAACCATTCATAGTATCCCTCATATACGGAGCCAGGGTCTCCTTCCTCCAAATCTCGTAGCACGTACTCTTCTCTCTTATTCCAATGACGACGTACTGCAGAATGGTGATCTACCCAATTGTTGCTAGGATACCCAGACATACTGTGGGCGTGATCGAGAAGAAACCTGCATTATCTTTAATCATAGGATGCTTGGGAACATCCTGTATGTATCCAAATTGTCTCACAACTCTGTCCGACTCGTGGGGTTCCCTAATAGCCCAACAGAACATCCAACACCTGGTCGTCCAAATGGCTTGGCCTTGTGTACAGAAATCAGGGAGTCTATGAAGGACCTTTGCATATGGTTGCCACCGAAACTGCACGAAAAGAATTTCATTAGATGGTATAACCGGAACGAAAAGAAATTCAAAGTAAATATAAATACCAAATTAAGTGCTTACATCTTCAACACGCAAGCTTGTTCGTTGATCGCTAAAAGGTGGGGTGCTGCTTCGTGGGACGTTTCCGTAGGTGTACCTACATTCCCACCTTAATGAACAAACACGAAGGGAAATGAAAAACAAATGAAAATAAATATTTGAAAATAAACAAATGAAAAACATTTGAATTAGTATAAAAGATGAAATGAAAAACAAATAGAAATAAACATTGACTTATTTTGAACTGAAAATACATACCGATGAGCTAATGGAGCGGTCTCATCAATCAAATAATCTATTCCTTTTGTGGCGCGATTCTCTCGATCCGCTCATACGCCCATACCTAGTAAATTTCAATAATAATGTTAAAACTTCAAATTATAACGTCGATAGCAAAAAATAATTATAACACCAATTGAAAACTAATACGTACCTTTAGCAAATATAGACAACCAATGGCGTCGTCCATGGTGTACTGTGATGCCTTGCACAGTCCAGAGTATAAACCAGCCAGCAGTGCTGATCCCCAACTGTATCGACTACACTGATCCAAATCCTCAACTAGTGCCAAGAACTGCAGATTGACAGTGTTTTTTGTCTTGTTAGGAAACATGAAACTGCTAATAAAATGCAGTATAAGTGCCCGAGCCCTTTGCTCGAATCAATGGACTGTGGAATTCTCAGAGAGTGCACAGCCCATCTCATCCTC